TTTAATTCTTCCGCGGCTGCATCTAGGGCTCATCTCAAGTTGCCAAAAATTAAATTACCGAGGTTTAATGGAAAGAATCTATCAGATTGGTCAGTGTTTCAGGGCTTATTTGAAGCCACAATTCATAATTCAACTGCTTTAAGTAACAATGAAAAATTCCAATATTTGCTGGCACAGCTTGATGATGAACCTCTTAGATTAATTAAAAATTTGGAACTTACTTCGGACAACTATTTAGTGGCGTGGAAATTATTAGTTGATTATTACCGTAATGAAAGAAGGTTGTTGACTCACCATCTTATTAGTCTTTTAGATTTGCCTGAATTAACAGCTACAAATTTATCTCTTTTTTATTCTAAAATAAAAGAAAACATGCAAGCTTTGGAAGCTTTGGGATTGAAACCAGAAAATTATTGCTCATTGTTAGTAGTTGTATTATTGAGAAAATTTAACAATTACCATAAAAGGAGGTTTGAAGATTTTCGGGACGAAAAAACAAAAATGCCAACTGTGGAAGAAATTTGTGAATATTTGCATACGGAAATTTCTCAGTTTTCAGAGAGTGAACAAAATAGGCAAAAGCCAAATCAAAAGTGTCAAAAACCTGTCACTGGGCCACCAGTGAGAGCTCTTCAAGTTGGAAATTTAGATGAATCTTCTCGTACAGAAAAATTCAAACCTTCTACAAACATTAATGGTAATAATTCAAAACCGGGGAATTCGCTATCACCGTACTTTAAATGTGTTCAGTGCCAACCAAATCCAAACCATGCTACGGCGCAATGTAGAAAATTTAATAATATGAGTGCTGAGGCTAGAAGGGATTTGGTGGTTCAGCACAGACTTTGTTTCAATTGCCTTTCTAACTCTCACGGCGTTAAAGACTGTAAGAGCAAAAAATGTAGTATTTGTTCTAAAAGTCATCATACAAAATTGCACGTAGCTCAGAATACCGCATTGCCTACTCAGATGTACCAACATACCCCAGCATCGGAGAAATCAGTTCTTGGAAAAATGGACCCTACTTCGACTCTTAGTTCCTCCTCACACCAAAATAATGTAAATGTCACTTGTCATGTGAGTGAAACTAGACAATGTACAGCGATCCTTCCAACAATTCAGGTTTTATTAACGGCAAAAAACGGCCGAACGCTGTTAGCTCGAGCTATTCTCGACTGTGGAGCGGATCAAGGAATTTTAAGAGCGGAATGTTGTCAAAAATTAAAGTTGAAACCAAACCTTAACGGCTCATCAGTTTCTGGTTTGTCAGAAACTCCGGTTGAGACCAAGGGATCTGTTGAAATAACTATTTCAACGCCGGGAGGAAAGGTCGTGGCACCGGATTACCCTATGACAGTGGTAAAAAATATAACGGGATTATTGCCCTCTGTTCCTCTGGATCCGAAACTTAAAAAACTTTTGCGAAATTATCCTTTAGCAGATGAAACATTTGATGCACCTGGTAAACCGGACCTGCTATTAGGAATCGACCTGTATGCTGTAATAGTTACAGGAGGTCCGATAACTCTCGGTCCGTCACTTCCTGCCCTAATTCCGACTATATTTGGATATGTCGTTATTGGGAAGTCTTTTAACCCTCTCCCTTCCATGCATTCAGAGCCATTGCGCCCTCCAGAATGTACTTCATCCACAGTGCTTGTGTGTTGTAACATTCAAAGTCAAGTGGAAAATTTTTGGAAAATGGAAGAAGCCGATCCACCGTTGGCTCGGAAACCGGAAGATGAATTTGCTGAAAAGTTCTATCAGGAGACTACAATTCAGCTTCCGAACAAAAAGTATCAAGTTCGCCTACCCTTCCGCCCCCAAGCGTCCCATCTTGGTGAATCTCGTTCAATTGCTTTGAAACGGTTTCATCAGTTGGAGGCAAGATTACAAAAGAATCCCAGATTAAAAGAAATGTATGTTAAATTTATGTCCGATTATTTAGAAAATGGCTATATGAAGCCAGTTCCTACTCCTTCTACAGAGGTGCCACATTTCTATATGAGTCATCATGGAGTGATAAACGAAACCTCAAGTACAACAAAATTAAGAACGGTGTTTAATGCTAGCATGAAGACTTCAAACGGGTTATCTTTGAATGACCTATTGTTACCTGGTCCCTCTTTATTGGAAGAGATACCGACTATTTTGTTAAATTTTCGTAGACATAGGACTGTTTTCTCGGGGGATATAAAGCAAATGTACTTACAAATTGAGTTAGCCCCATGTGATCATTTGTATCAATTAATTTTGTGGCGATCTGAGCCTTATTTACCTCTTCAAACATATGCTTTGACTACAGTAACTTTCGGAGTTAATTGTTCCCCCTTTCTGGCGATTCGAACAATAAAAAAATTAATAGAAGACCACGGTCATAAATACCCTAGAGCTGCAAAAGCTCTTTACGCAAGTCTTTATATGGATGACTTGATACATGGAGAGAGGGATGAGAGAAAAGCTCGGGAATTGCTTGAAGAGGTAATCTTATTGTTAGAAGAAGGAGGTTTTTTTATGAGAAAGTGGACTTCTAATTCACAATATGTTTTGGAGGGTTTTCCCATAGGTGATCTTGAGATGCCAAAAGGGAACCCTGAGGATCCACAACATAAAATTCTTGGTATTCAGTGGTCTCCGGAAAAAGACGCCTTCACTTACAAAATAATTAGTATGCCAGCTCCAACCACAAAACGGAGCTTACTCTCTCTTATTGCTTCAATATTTGATCCTTGTGGCTGGCTGACAGCAGTCATTTTTAAGGTAAAAGTATTTATGCAGGAATTATGGTTGATAAGTGTGGACTGGGATGATCCCTTGCCAAAGGAGGTAATTTTTAAATGGGAAAATTTCGTGGACCAACTCCCTTGTTTGAGTAAAATATCTATCCCAAGGCTTATTGACACTGAAGGGAGGAAGGTGCAAGTATGCTGTTTCTGTGATGCGAGTGAGGCTGGCATAGCAAGTTTGATGTATGTAAGGATACCACCTCTACCTTCTGAAGAGAATCATAAGGCAAAGATTCAATTAGTTTTTGGAAAATCAAAAGTAGCGCCTTTAAAAAAGATATCAATACCTAGATTAGAACTTTGTGCAGCATTGTTGTCGGCCACGTTGATAAAAAAGTATGTTCCTAAATTGAAGGAGTTTTTTGGTGTTGAACAAATTTTTTCATGGTCTGATTCAACAATTGCGTTGACATGGATTCAGACTCCAAGTTATCGGTTAAAAACGTTTGTTTCCAACAGGGTGGTACAGATACAAGAATTAAAGGAAAAAGTTATTTGGAAACATGTGGAAGGTAAGGATAATCCGGCGGATTTAGCAAGTAGAGGTCTTTTACCTAAGGAAATATTACAGAATTATTTCTATTGGGAGGGACCACAATGGCTGAAAGAGAAAATAGAGAAATGGCCGGAGTCTATTACAACGTTACCATCCAGCCAAAAATTACCGGAATTAAAAGTAATAAGTCCCACCTTAATTGTGAAACAAATAGAACAGGAAGTTAAAGATGAGGAAATAAAAATACCTCATTTGTCAACGTGGACAAAAACAATTAATGCTATGGCTTATGTTCGTAGATTTCTGGTCCGAAAAATATTATTAGTTGATAATATTAAAAAATTGGAAAAGATTAAAACAGGAAAATTTACTGCGGAGGAGTTACAGTTAGCGGAAACAAAAACTCTCCTTTTAATTCAAAAGGATAGTTTTAGGGGGGAGAGACTTTTGATAGAAAAAGGCGAACGTTTACCATCGAAATTTAACGCGGTAAAGCGGTTGACACCATTTTTAGATCCAAATGGCTTGATGCGCGCTGGAGGCCGGCTAGCGCATGCAACAGTACCAGAATCAGTGCGTTATCCCTTACTTCTTCCGTCGCGTCACCCATTAGTAAAATTATTAGTTGTTTATTATCACCGGAAAAATCTGCATGCACCATCACAATTACTCCAATCGCTACTAAGGCAGAAATTCTGGATTTTAGCTGCCAGGCGACTGACGCGGATGGTTGTGAATGAGTGTATCGCCTGTTTCAGGGTAAAGCCGTCAAGTGTCTCCCCTCCTCTCATGGGAAATCTCCCCGCAACCAGGGTTCAACAAAGCCCCCCTTTCTTTAAAACAGCTCTTGATTTTTGTGGCCCATTCCAAGTGAAGATCCATCAAACTAGATTCGCTCGAGTGTTTGCCGTATATGTTTGTGTATTTGTTTGTATGAGCGTAAAGGCTGTTCATTTGGAAATGGTGTCAAATTTAACAACTGATGCCTTTGTTGCTGCTTTGCAGCGTTTCGTGTCAAGAAGGGGGTTACCTAGTTATATTTATTGTGATAATGCCAGTAACCATACAGGAGCTGCAAATAGATTTTTGAAACTTATATCGGGAACAGAGCCGGAGCTGGTCCATTTTTCTGTGAACAATAAGGTTGAATTCCACTTTAACGTGCCAATGGGACCTCATTTAGGGGGACTTTATGAAGCAGCAGTTAAGAGTTTCAAATATCATTTTAAAAGGGTTTGTGGTTTGACAGTTCTCACCCAGGAGGAGTTTCAGACTCTTACGTCACGAATTGAAGCAGTTCTCAATTCGCGGCCATTAACTCCGCTGTCTTCCGATCACAGGGATTTGCAGGTTCTCACCCCTGGACATTTTTTGATAGGAAGACCTTTAAGTTCTCTTCCGGAGAAAAAGTACGATATTGAAAACCCCCCTTTCTTGCAGCGGTGGACGTACGTTGAGTTCTTTGCACAGGCTTTTTGGGAAAGATGGCATTTTGAATATCTCCACACGTTGCAAGAGAGGTCCAAGTGGTTAGAAGTCACCAAGAGTATAAAGGAAGGAACGTTAGTTTTGATTCACGATGCGCAGGCACCCCCGCTCACATGGAAAAGAGGACGAATTGCTAAAATTTTCCCAGATCCTGATGGGCATGTAAGGGTGGCTGAAGTAATTACTGCCACGGGAATGCTCAGGAGGCCTGTAATCAAATTGTACCCGTTGCCAATAATGTCCCCTTAACATTGACTTTCTAGAATGGAGAAGAACGGTTTCCTGTCCCTCCCGACCCCCTCAAAGGATGAACTCTCCCTCCCGACCCCCTCAAAGGATGAACGCTCCCTCCCGACCCCTTTAAAGGATGGCTTCCCTCTACCTGCCCCGTCAAGACATCAATCCCCCGTCCCCAACCCCTCCGAAAATGAACTTCCCAAATCTGGTCCTGATAAGACTGAGGCTTCAACTCCCTTCGGCAAAAAAGAAGACGATCCTAATGCTAATATGCAGCGATCACGATCCTATCGAACGCGAATTTTGAAACGATGGAGAGCGGTTATGAAGTGTCCCATTTGTTTATTCACCGCTGAGCCCCCATTCGAGTTGTGCAGTAACGGGCATCGAATTTGTCATCAATGCCGGGTTCGACTACAAAGTTGTCCCATCTGCAGAGTTTCGCTGGCGAATAACGTCAAGGATCGGGCCATGGAAGAGTTACACCAAGCCCTACGGCCACCACCAACGAATAGAAATGTATTGAATGAGGACAGTGAGGAAGAAGAAGAGGCGGAAAGACGACCACAGAGGAGAGAAGAAGAGAGACGTGAGGCAAGGCAGGGACAGATGGGTTTGGAATCGTTGTCGTTTGAAGCGCTAGCAGAAAGGATAGAGGCTATTAAGTTAACCCTACCAAGACACCTTTGGGCTGTGGCCCGCCTGAACCCAGGCGGAGGGGCCATCCTCGATATTTAATTAGGTCCCTCCCCTGGTTCGGTGCTAATACCCTCCCTTTCTGGGCTCTTCAGGATGATGCCTTTAGGGGGTGGACGTCTGTCTCGGTCTGAACCCCTAAAGGGGTTCAGGGCGGGCTGGATGTCCAAGCCCCGATCGGCATCAGCTGATGGAGCTTCGGAAAGGGAGGAGTTTCTTTTGTAAAAAAGTTTATAATGTTAACCTAAAAAGTTGTCGAAAAAAGTGGAAGTCTTGGATTGTTGTTCTCTTTAGTTTTTTCTTCTGATAAAAGTTTATTCCCACCCAAAAGTGAGTATTACTTCTCCTGCGGTTCCTGTAAGGTTCCTGATCCCCCCCAATATTCTTCAGTATGTGATTCCCTCTTAAAGTTCACTGATGCATTCTGCGGCTTCCCTGGGTTGTCACATGATGCCAGGGTATGGTCCAACTGGAATTGCTCTAGCTGAAAACAGAGACGACTATCTGCCACCAGGTAGTCATTTCCTCTGCGATTCAGCTTACACATGTACGACTTATACCATCCCAGTGTTTAAAGACAATGGTCATTTCACGCCTCAGCAGATGACTTGCAATAACGAAATCTCTTCAGTGCGCGTTCGAATAGAACTTGCCTTCGGGCGTCTTAAAGGAATTTTTCAGCGATTACTTCATTTAAATGTAACAAATCTAAACTAAACTTGGCGGATCATGCGCCTCGGTATTCCAGGGCTGCATACGTTGGTAATGGAGGGAAAACCACCTTCGAGAGGAATGCGGGAGCATACGCCTCCCATGGCTACATAGCTAACTTGCATGTCTTCGAGCCCGCCACCGTATGGACTTCTGATTTTGGCGCTAACAAAGTCCACGCCCCGTGCCAGGTGGGCGACAACCTGTCTCCCCAGCAAGCTGCCACCATCGGTAGGAGGCCTTTTCGCCCAAACTTTTTACCCCAATAGCCAAAATGTTCAGACTTCTTTTCACCCTAAAAACCACCAAAAATTCATCCAAAGAAAATTCACCCGACAATTTTACCCAATAATTTAGAGAGAAAATTTAGAATGCACTCAAAGCACTCCAAGCGAAACACCGGGGGAATTCATTCATCGTCCTAATCTGTGTGTCGCACGACAACACTACTACCGCTGCCTCGATGATTTAAATGCGGAAAATGATTGTTTCGTGTGCGGTCGTAGACTACACATTTTTAGAGGCGATGAGTGCATTGCCGAATTTTTCCAAATTTTGCTGAACCCGAAAAAACAATTTTCAGAGATCGTAGCCTTGAGCCATTACGGAAAAGGCTATGATAATGTCCATTTCCGGTCGGCCACCCAAAAAGAATTCTCGTAGGAGATCAGTGCACTGCAAACATAGAGCAATACAACGGGCTCATCATGTGCAAAGTTTTGCCGCCTTTTGACCTGTACTTTCCGGTTCTACCTGTGAAGTTCGTTGGAAAACAAGCGTAGGTTTGGACCAGTACAATCGAAGAACCCCGCCCACCTCACTGGTCGCGGATTACGCACTTACATTGCTACTATGTCAGCAGTTTGCAACTTGGATGCCCCCCAAAAAAGTAATATTGGCAAGTCTTCAGGTCACGACATGAGCACGCATGAGAAACACTATTCATTACCGGAAAAAATTAAATTTTATGTACAATGATAAGAATTTCAATGACATTTTCCATGTAACTAAACTATCATGTTCTCCAATAATAGGTCTTGCTCTCGCAGAACAACTAGGCTTCATTGATATTTTTAAAGAAATCAATGAATCCGAAACCACTTGAGAATCAACTCTCAAGGAAACCTTAGAATTCTCTGAAAAACTTCAATCTGAATTAGATGGCCAAATAGCCTTACTCGATGAAACCGTTGCTATGTCTTTTAGTGATAAGAAACTTGATGAATTTAAAACCGAGACTCAAAATGATGTAGTCTTAAATGTTCTAAAAGATCATTATTTTAAGGGTTGGCCTGCAACAATTAAAATGTGTAATATCCATGCTAAACCATTTTTCAAAGTGAAACATGCAATTTCCGTCAGAAACGGTCTACTTTTTGGATTGAATGTGCGACTCAGAATGGGGTAAGATGCTCCAATTTTCGGAGGATTGCATTCCAAAAGTTTAAGATAAATAGGTTTGTTTTGCAATGTTTTGCAACAATGGAAAGTTGAGCATGAGAAAACTGTAGCTGCAGAAGCAGCAGTGGAACTTGAGTGATAATGCAGCACAACATCAATAATTGGGGGCGATGAACTCGTAAATTGTGCATCTTCTGAATCCTATTGAGGCATATGAATAAAGTCTCTAAAGAGCATGAATTTATTTCAATTCCGTTCATAAATAAAATGAGAATGGATTTTTTTGTGTTCAAAAATGTAACTCCTTTCCAGCAGCCTCATTGTTTTTTTTTTTTTTTTGGCGCATATTGGCAGCATCCACTCCATAAATCAATTTGGGGTCAGTAAGGGATTAATTGCTGTTTCAGTATTGCTTCGTAATCTATTGATTCTAACAGTTTTCTTTCTTATGAATTTCAGGTGAGGTTTTGCCTTCGTTCAAGTGGAAAAGTGCTTCCATCAAGCTCCTGCTGAAATTGCGATTGGAAAAAGAAGAACAGTTTGCTCCACCGCCAACTGCCAAGAGTAAGCTGTGGGTTTCCATCGCTAATTCTATGGCTGAGCAAGGATACTTTGTCAGTGGTCCTGCTTGCGATGCCAAGTATCGTAATCTCAAAAGTACCTATCAAAACATGCGTTTGCGCTTATTAAAAACTGGTGAAGCGAGAGAGATCGATGGAAAAACTGAGGAATCGCCCAGTTGGGAGTTTTACGCTTTGTTCAGGGACAACATAGGGACAAAAGCAAGCGTTCAGCGGACGAAGGTCTGTTAGGAGGGGCCTTTAATCAGGCTGAGAAACCAGCTACACACGACACATCCTTTGGGTAAGAAAGTTCTCCTGAAGAAGGGAAAACTGGAATGTTTTCGAAAGGTAAACGAAAGAGAGTGAAGACACAACCAGAACTAACCGTGAAACAGTCTCTTCGTCAGAAAAATGCACAGGATTATTAGGACCGCGTTTACGCATTTAACACGATCTAGGCATGCAGTCACCAAACAACAACTAGTCAATTGGCATGCTGAAATAGAACCATGGATGCGTATCTGAAAACGAGGAAGTTTTTAGTTAACCCTGACAAGCCTACAGAATTTTTTAACCCGGAGGAAACAGAGATAGATCCGGAACGCCCAGCACCTATACTGTTGTTGAAGGTAATAGTGTAATAACAGACCCCAAACGGATCTTCAATGGAGATGAAACTGCTTTTTTTTGAAATCCGAAAGGCTCTAAAGTCATTGTTGCCAGAGGTGAAAAATGTGTTTATCACGTGGTAAATACAGATGAAAAAGAATGTCTCACTGTTATGATGACTGCAAATGCTGCTGGTAACATAGTGGATCCTTTGATTGTCTTTAAATGAACACGAGTACCGAACGAAATTGCAAAAATTATTCCAAAAAACTGGGCTATAGGAAGGTCGGAGAATGGTCGGTTTTTCAGACACTGACTCATGGTTTGATATTCTCTTACTTTTAGGTAACTTAAGTGCCATTCAGGATTGTTAGCAAAAGCGTTGCTCTGATAAATTTCTTTGCTTGATCTCCTTATTTATATACTCTCTTATTTATTTACTATTAAGTGCAACGTGTTCTGCTATGCAGTTTACGTAAAACGTAATAAGCTCATTTACTTTCTTTACTTTAAGTGTTCTTACAAGTCAGAGGTGCTATTTTTTAGTTACCTATAAACTAAAATTCTGAGTTTGCTCAAAGATTTTTTAGTTACCTATAAACTAAAATTCTGAGTTTGCTCAAAGATTATAACTCAATAAGTGTAAGCATATTAATTTATTTTTAAATGTAACTTTCAAAATGAGCTTTCAATGCCCTTTAAAGTTTACTTTTGATTACCAGAGACTTTTTGATAGTTCCTAAAGAAATTCAGCAAACAATTTTGTGAAAATTATTTTTATTCCAGTATTTTTGTTACTTTAATATAATAAAATATTTGTTCTTTCAACTCTATGATCTTCTCTCATTACCATGAACGTATAATTTATAACTTTAAAATTAATAATCAAATATAAAACAAAAGAAAATCTGAGAGGCCATAATGGGGACGAGGGGATGGCTATAATGGGGACGAAATGACATTTGAAGTGGCCATAATAGGTACATTCACGTTTTTTCTCTTAAATAAATTAAAAAAAAAAAAAAAATCCTCACGCTCTATTATCTAAAAACATCCTTACTACCAAACTAGAACATATTTTGAAGGCCCTGCCCCAAACAAAGTTTAAATTTGATCACAACTTTCATTTGTATGATTTTTTTTATCGAGAAATTTTCCTTAAGGTGGCCACAATTGGGATATTTACCATAGTTGTTCCCACACATTGTTCCCAAATCGCTGCAACCTAAAATTTTAAAAGTTATCCATCAAGGACACATCGGTTTTCAGTCATCTTATCGTCGAACCAAACATGTGGTTTACCGGCCTATTATGAAATCAGAACTAAAAAATTTAGTTGATGAGTGCAGCGCATGTATCAAATATTTCAATGCCAACAGGTAACAACCTTTAACACCACACGAAATTCCACAAACTCCATGGCTGAAAATTTTCAGCCAAACCAGTTAATACCAATTTCCAGTACCAGTACCAGTTTTCAGTTAATACCAATTTAAATTGGTATTAACTTGTTCGAACGTAGCAAATCCAAATACTTGGTTGCTGTTGATTATTATACAAAATTTCCTGAAGTTGTACCCATGAAATCCGATACATCCGCTGAATTTGCGATAGAAGTGTTGAAATCTATCTTTGCCAGGCATGGTATCACTTCCACTATTATGAGTGATAATGGTCCACCATTCAATTCTGAAGCATTTAAAAATTTCACATCACCATGGAGCATTAATCATAATACGTCCTCTCCCAATTATGCTCAATCTATGATGGTCAGGTAGAGAGGACTATTCAGTCGATTAAAATTTTAATTTAAAAATATAGCGAATCAAATGAAGATTTTCACCTAGCGCTTTTAAATTATCGCAATACGCCCAAGGCAGATGCTCCTGCTCCTAGCCAATTACTCATGTCACGTAATTTAAGAACCATGTTACTATGTAGTTTAAATCATATAAAGCCCAAATTAGTGGATACGACAAATATAATCACTCTCCTCAAAAAAGAAAGCAATCAATGATTGACTGTTAGGCAAATTACAATCCCCTCAAAGAACTTTAAGCTGATGAAAAAATCCATTTTCAAAAAATTCTGGCCGACTATCGTGTTCACGGTGCCAAATATGGAATCGGGAGCCAAAACCGGTTCAGCTAGAACGTGACAGTCCGTTTTCCAGAAAGATAATTTATATTCTCGAGATAATTGCTGGGTAATGATGTCATAAACCGACTCGTTTGCATTGTTTCAATGTGAACTTCAAGTGCCGAACCAGTCTGTTTATGCTTAACGCAGAAAGTGGAGAGTGGTTGCCTTGATTTCCGTCACAACTTTCTCTATAAGATTTTATACTTTCAAATGCACCCGGTGACAATAGAAACTAGTCAATGCCATGCAAATGTGATGTTAACTTCCTTTTATCAGGGAAGTTTTCTCAATTTGAGTGATGATTTATCTCAGGAAGGCGTTCCGAGCACTTCAATCTTCTGCTGGCTGGCGCTCCCAAAACTAATAAGATAGAAAATTACAA